TTGGATTTACATGTATACAGATTATAATTATTATATGGACTGTAATTATTTGTGTACACGGATTAGGATTATTATACAGACAATGTGTATATATACACATACTACACAGTATATATATATATATATATATATATATATATATCTACACATACTACACAGTATATTAATAAAATTCATTGTCTATAGTACTTTTCGACATGCATCATTACTCAATATAATAAAAGCTAATTATTTTTAAAAAGTATAAATTGGAAAAGAAACCATAAAACATAGTGAAGAATATAAAATAAAAATAAAAAATCCAAAAATTTTCGATAGTGCAATGACGAAATATCCATCATTAAAAAAATTCTAGTTCATGTTATATCTTTCAACATATGTTATCTATATAATAAAAATAATAATGCTGGAATTAATAAAAAGGTTTGATACACCTCTTTAAAATATAAGTATTATATCTCAAGAATTTTTGTTAAGTTTAAATATTAACATTATACCAATATCGTAGTGAGTTTTATATCATAATGATATTTTGTTTCAAAAACTTTCTCGATGTAATGTATGTGTATTCAAGCGAAACTTTGTACATCTCTTATGAGATCTCCTAAATATTTTAGTTAATTATTTGTATATTAAAGTATCAATTACTAAAAGTTAGTAGTTTGATATTGAAACATATTTTTGAAAATATATGCAGCCAATTTGTCGAAAACAAAATAGCAGTAAATATTTAAAAATATTGTACATAGCTAAAAACAGAAAACTGTTGAAAATTAAAAATAAAAAGCTGAGATATAAATAAATAGAATGCGTAATCGGTCACAATATTTTTCGATACAAATATTTTTATATCAAAAGTTTTCGCATCAAAAATAAATGTCTGTCATATTTGTTATTTTTCATTTTCCACGAATTGAACGAATATTTTGAAATGCATATATATATATATATATATATATATACATATATATTAAATATCTTATTTGACTTGTTAATAATTATTTAATTATATCGTGCATAATATGTCTGTTTCCTTCTAATCCTTTATAGATACTATTTTAGTATAACGAGAATTTCATAGGATTTGGATAAAACCTATGAAATAACATATTTTATTCAATCATCTTGAAAATATATATGATGACAAACAATTACGCAAGTTGTGTAATATCTTTGATATATTGAGTATAGATTATATTTCCAAACTGTTTCTATTATTTTAAATTATTTTGAATAATTTTGTGATTTGAATTTTGAAGCAATAATATACAATATACGAATTGTTATTGTATCATTATATAATACAAAAAACTAGAGTCATTGGAGTTTCATATAATTTTTATATAATATTCACAGTTTCTTGAAAGCATACATGATATAAGAATTTTTTTTTAAATCAACACCAGAGATAATGATATCATAGATACTTTATATCATAGATTATAAAACATTATTTAAATATTGTATTACATTACCGCAGTAAAACCTGCTCTGAAACTCAGTGCCCAGAACAGATTTAGTCGGCCGAAATGACCCGTTAAAGTCAGTTTGAGAGAATAACTTTCCAGCAGCCTCATAAGATAAGCACGAAGTTTAGAAAAGTTTTGTGTACGGTTGAAAAATAGAATTACTTATTTAGCAATAAACTTGATGGTGTATTAGACTTTAAATTACACTAATGAAGCTACTAAATCTGATTTATATTACAATATTTTCATTTTAATGAAATATAAAAGGCTAAATTTTATCGTGTTCTTTATGGTTGTTTATACAGCAATACAGCCGATCTAAACATGTATCTATTCTATGAAGTGAACTGCTATAATGCACTCATCAATTTCAAATGCAGTAGAAACTCTTCAGTTATACGGATCTGCGATTATCCGGACTACCAACCGCGACCAGTTTGCATGTATATGAACATACTTACAAGTTGATTTATGCAAACCAAATTAAACTTGTTACCTATTTTTTTCATTACCAAATTCGAATTGTAAACAAATTAATTGTACATACGTACCTAAACACGCGTAGTCTAAGAAAATATGTATGTACATACATTGATAATTTTTTAATAAACATGGATTTTCGTTGATATCTATATATTTATTATTTTTAACAAATACAAGATTCTTCATACATTCGATTGTCCGAATGCCAATCGACTGGTTAAATAAATTGGTCCGGTTAATCGAGTTTCTACTGTAGATGTATTTCCTGTGTAACCGAACACAGTCTTATACTTTTAATATAACATCCATAAAATTAGTTTTTTTTTTTAAATTATACATCATAAGTTAATGAGTAAATTCTTAACTTTATGCAATTTTTCATATTTAAGTTTTATTGACTTTTTTATGCTTTGATCAATATTTTCAATTCAAAAATGAAATTTTCATATTTTATTTAAAATTTTTAAGTGTTTTTTGAGAGGGATAGGTTTGTGATTTGTCTAATTTTTTCATTGCTTTTAATTGATATCTGATTGTTATAAAAATTCAATGTATACGATTTTATGATTTTTGGAATAAAAATCGTAAAGAGTATTATCTAAGGAACAATCACTCATAATGATTCTTTAGTCAAATAATGCATTTGAGTCATGTGAAGTTTTCAGATATTTATGTAGATTTTAACATGATATATATATATATATATATATATATATATAATTTAATGATAGGTTTATTTGCAGCCAAAAGGTCGAAAAAAACAATATTTAAAATAGTTATTCTGTACGTTTTGATACTGTATGTGTATCAATATTCAGCATGTAATATGCTGAATGATGACACATATACAGTGTCAAAACGCACAGTATTTGGTTGCAAATCAACATTTCAAGAACATGATGCAATTCAAAAAAATGCAAGTTTATAATAATTTAATATAGAAAAATTTTTGCAGTTATAAATCAATGTATGTGCGATCTTAGTTATAGATGTAACTGTTAACCTAATTTTTGTGGCAATAAAAATCTGTATGATCTTCTATGCCCGCAAAAACTATAGACCTCTTCACAATATTTCAATATCAAGCTTTGACATAAATGATAATATCTCTATCCTTAAAACAATCTCATTTTTTAGATATACGCTTTACAGCATTCCTTTATATTATATTCTTATTTTTAACAAAATTAGCCAAAGTTTCATTTTTTAATAATTACAAATTTTTAATAATTTTATAAAATTGCAAATTTTTTTGTCACTATTTGTTTCGTGAGATTTTTATCACATGCAATACTTAATTATATTTATCTACATAAATCCGATTAAACCATGCAATAAATAATACGATTTTTTTTTTTAATTAATATAGTTTAAAGCTAAAAAATGCAATTTTATTGAATTATTATCGAATCTATCATCAAATTCTACTATGCAGATGAATGAACAGCAAAATCACAATTTGAGATGCATTAATCATTTGTCTATCCGATGGAATTCGATAACTCTATCTGATTATTTTCTCATCATTTATATATTGAAAGCTTTTTTATTCGATTTGCATTCGTCAGTTTAGAGCATAATCCATACGAATAGACTTCATTGCTCTAGTTATCGATTTATGATATGCAACATTCATTGTCGATATTGCGTCCGGCACGGTATTTAATTAAATTTTCATAACTTTTTTGCAATTTGCAAATGAATGATATACGAATATTTCATTTTAAATATAAATATGATAGGCAGCATTATTCCCACAAAAAGTTGCAGAACCGTCTTTTTCTAAACAAGTTTTAATAAATCAAGAATCATAATAATAGATCAATCAATTTTGCTCATTCATTTTTTATTCTATCAATTCAAGTAAAATGATTTGAACCATTAAAATCGCTTCGTTCTCTAACAAACTGACTTGTCATTATATGCACTTTTTGCCTCGTATCTTCGAAACGGCTGAACCTACCTTTGCGAATGAATCACTACGAATTCAAATCATCAGTTATATATATTGTATCCGCATACGCACACACACTGTAAGCACCCGACGCAATGTTTATTAAAAAAGTCAATTAAAAAATCACTACACACGGACACTTTATTACCTCGAAGGACCAGATATACTTTATCATTAAAATGGCTATATCAGATCTTTAAAAATATGTAAGTTAAATAAGTTAGTTAGTTATTAATAGTATTTATTTGTTTGATGTTCACGGTTCAAGTTATGCGTACAGAATGGATAATTTCTTATAACTATCTTAGTACCTAGAGTAGGGTAGGAAATTATTTTATTACAGATTAGAGGGAGTTCAGTATATAGGTAGAGGGAGATGGATAAATAAAATTTGTGAGGCTCGAACATGCCGGCCCGATTTGAAAAAACAATGGGAAATTTACATGATTTTTCAACATTGCTTCATATAGTTATGGTGTTATAGTAAAGTTACAATATAAATGTATAAAGATTAATTAGTTATAATAATATGTAAAAATGATTATTTTATTATCACTTAAATTCTAGTAATGAATAAAGTCTTGTGATAACAGAGTTTATGAATTCACGATTGATTATAATGTCTATTGGTAACACTCACAGGTTTGGTGTTTAAAGTCTCAAGATAAAATAGTTTATGCATTGATTTGTATGATATGGTATATATCCCTGTCAGTTATTAGTATACAAAGTTTTGTTGTTGCACAATTCACCACACTATTGTTTGTTTTATTGGTCACAACACACACAGTACCTTCCTTCCCCTGGATAGTTTGCTGGAACGCGTCTCAAGTGCCAGTTCAAGGGTTGAAAGATTCTAATTAGATATAATAATTGCATATGCAATCATGATCTCGTTGCATGCTTCCAAAAGGTTGATCCCTGCAGTCGTGGATCCGGAAGTGTCTCTTGACAGGTATTTTAAGCAATAGTGGGTTAGGTATAAAGGTTAAAGAATTTCCAATTGGAAAGTGAATTGTTAAGGATTAGTAATTAGGATTGGAATCAAAGGAGATTCAGGTTTAGAATTTTGTCAATCTGCGTTAAAATGTGTTCAAGTAAAATTGTTCATAGGAATGTTTGTAAGTTAAATAAATGTTCCCGATATCTCATTTTAACGCGTTTTATAAGATTTAACAGATGAATAGATAGTGAATCGATAGTTTCGAAATGAAGGGTCTTTGATATGATATAATTTATTAAAAGTTTAATTGCTAAATTATTTGTTACCCTTGTGTTAATCGATTTATGTTGTAGTATCATATGAAATTGTTTTAAGTTTGGTGCTGCGTTAACAAAATTTGAACTGTCTTCTGAATTCATTTTGTAAATTTTACAACTTTGCGTAATGAACCATTTCCGTGTGGCCACTAAGTATTTCGCAGTCAAATTAAAAGTTTGTTCAATATGAAGAGCTTTAGTGATACAACAATCAATCAAGGTAGTAAAAGTATTGTTTGAAGCAGGTTTAATAGGTTCACATTCCATTTTTGTTATTGGAATTTTAAAAGTTAAAAGGTTGTTTGTATCGAAAGATTTTCGTAACCACAATGGAAATTTTAGATTAACTGCAGTATTAGAAGCCAAAATGTATATATCACAATTTGTTTCTATTTCGTCTACTCTATCAGTTACCAAGGCTTTCCGCTTGTATGACAGAGGTTTTATAAGAAATAAAGTAACCGTATAGTTATTCAAATAAAATTTCTTATCAAATGTAAAGTTTAATGCGCGTTTTTCTTTCTGTATAAGATTTGCTAAAAGTTCAAGTCGTTGAAGTGGTATATTTTTTAAAGCCATTGCTTTAGGTTTCGATGTAGTTAAATATATTTTAGTATTAGAATTTTTCCAGGTAGAGCATAAATAGGTAAAAGTTCTGTATGCCCATTTTGTTGCGTCGGAAAATTCGTGTGGTAATTGTTGAGTTATTAATAATTTATAACATATTGGAGCTGCAGCTTCCGAAATAAGTATTTTCATAATAGTTTTATTTATAGCGTTATTAGCTAAAACTATCTTATTGAATCTAAAACTATCTAGTATGTTACAAACTATATCTAGAGTTTTAGCAGTTTGTTTGTTAAAATAAATATAGGGTTTATCTGAAAGTTTGAAATGATTAGTTTTGAAATCATATAGATTTAATTTGGCATTCGTTAAAAGTTTTGTTAAATTTTGTTTGGTTGTTAGTAATAAAAGTATTTTATTTGCATCGGTAATGAGGTAATATTCTTTAGATAATTTATCGTTCGATCGTAAGTGGTATTCAAAACATTTAAATTTCTTTAACATAATATGTTTATTACGTGCCAGATTTTTATTGTTGGCAAAAGGAATTTTTATACCGAATCGCCAGGTAATTCTCGTAGTATTTGGGGTGAGATTTTGTTTTCCGGCTAGTACCTGGTTTTCCAGGTTTGAGGTAGAATTATAAAGTGTAAAAGATTCGGGATGCGTGTTTCCGTTTAAGCCGAATTGAGTAATATACAAATCAGGTTTATTGTTACTTAATTTTATGTTTTTATTATAAAATGTTTCGTTGTCGATAACAAAGTTTGCTTTATTACATGTTGAGTCTGGTAATTTTTCAAATTTTGGAATGTTTAAAATGTTTGCGTTAAAAGTATTTGTCGGAATGTTATACGTAGTTTTATTATTTTCGTTTCGTGTTTCTGATAATTCCGTCGCGAAGGAACAGTTTTTGTCGAGTACAGGTAAAGATTCAGTTATGCTCCCTGCCTCGGGTTTAGGGTAATTAAAATTTTGTAAATGATTGATATTTTGATCAAACTCAGGTAATTTGATCGAAATTGGAGGTTGTTTTATATTGTTTGACGATATGATTGTTTGATCACTAAAGCTGCTAGTAGAACCAGATTTAGTAGATGCTTTATTAAGTAGTTTACGTAATTTTGATAGACATCTAGTATGATCGTCATCAAAATCAAGTAGTTCTGTTTCTAATAATTGATCAATTTCTTCTTCGTCGTCTAAAAAGGTAGTTATTTTGACAAGTGTATTTTGGAACGTGTCTATCATAGGTTTCACTTTTTCCAAAATACCGTTTATCTGTAATACATTTAGTTCGCTACACGGAATTTTTGACATTTTGTTACAAGTTTGTTCAAATTCTGCTAGACGAGCTTTTATTAATGTTAGTTCGTTTTGTAAAGATTGTAATGATTTTAATGAATCCATTTTAAAGTAGACTCACACAAAATTCTAGAGATGGTTAAGTATAGATATAGGTAAAAGATTAGGATGAGTTTAGGATAAGTTAGAAAGGATTGCTTTGACTAACCTTGTTTGATGTGATTCTGTAGCTTCTTGACCGCTTCGTAAATTTTCTTGATGAATGCAGTTATTATGCTGTTGATAATAACGTACACTGATGAATAGTTTTTGTGGCTCCAGTAGATTACACTGTCAATAATTACTGCGCACTTTGTTAGTTAGATTAAGTAGCTCCAGTGGATTACGCTTTATTGGAAATCACTGTACACTTTGTAGGTTAAATTTAGTGGCTCCGGTGGATTACGCTGTTAATAATCACTGTGCTCTTTATAGGTTAGATTAGTGGCTCCAGAGGATTACGCTGTTAATAATCACTGTGCACTTTGTAGGTTAGATTAGTGGTTCCAGTGGATTACGCTGTTGATAATCACTGTGCACTTTGTAGTTTATATTAGTTAATATAAGTTTAAGTTTAACACTGGAGGTCGAATCCGGCTCGAATTGGACCAAAAAATGTAAGCGCCCGGCGCAATGTTCATTAACAGTAATTAACTTCACTACACACGGACACTAGATATAGTTTGTTACAAAAAAGGCTATATCAGACCTTTTAAATAACTGAGTGAAAAATAATAACTAGTTCAGAATTTGTTTGTATAAATGTAATGTATTTAATGTTGGTAAATTGTATTAGATGTTATCGGGTCAAGAGATACGTACAGAATGGATAATTTCTTATGACTATCTTAGTACCTAGAGTAGGGTAGGAAATTATTTTATTACAGATTAGAGGGAGTTCAGTATATAGGTAGAGGGAGATGGATAAATAAAATTTGTGAGGCTCGAACACACACATAAATCCATTTTTTAAAGTATACTAAAATATTCAGAAATCTTTGAAACATAAAGATATGCAAAAACTTTGATTTTGCGAACACTATAACTGACTCTATGGGAAGTTATTTACAATTTAAAAAGATACAAAAATTAAAAAAATATGAAAATAAAATGAAGAAAATGAATATATATATATATATATATATATATATATATATATATATATATGTGTGTGTATGTGCGTGTCTTTGTTCAGAAATATAAGTGACTTCTTACACAATCATGGATAGGTTATTTCTAATTATTAAAGTTAATTATTTCACATTTTCTTCTATTTGCACAAAAGTTTTATGCCGCAAGATCTTGCAGTATTTTAAAGCTTTATTTAAACAGAAAAATTACTTTGAACTTATGCTCATTATAAAACCACTATAGAAAAGTATACTTTATAACAAAGTTGTACAACTTCGTGCAAACTAACTAAATCGAGTAGAATAATATTAATAGCACAATGGATTGTGTGAAAATTTTTGTTTGCTTTTTATTTCTTTATAACTCTGAAATTTGACATAATAATATAGTGCAATAGAAAAGAAAATGAATTGAATATTATACAATGCTTCATTCGATTCAAATAGTATTTTAAATTCTTTATTATTTTGAGATAAATTCGAATTTCAAAATATTTACGTATTTTCAAGGCTGTTTTAAATGATGGTAGCGCCTAATGAAAGTGATTACTAACATATAATATTATTTTAATATAATGTATCATAGTAAAGTTTTATATAATAGTTATTATATATATATATATATATATATATATATATATATTTGTATATATATAAACATTCCTGGTAGACAATTAGTATGGTTTTCGAAAACGACTATCAACAATTGATGCAATCAAATTGGTTGTTAGTACGGCCAAAGATGCAATTACTAGAACCGGATGGAATATAAACACACTCACACACACACACACACATATATATATATATATATATATATATATATATCAAGTGTCCCAAAACTCAACGTCAAGCGGAATAGTATTAGTATCGGTGATAGTATTGACCGTAACTGTCATTAATACAAATAGCAAAAATTATAATCTCAGGTTGTTTAAAAATCATAAGTTTTTCAAGCAAAATTGAGCTTTTTAGTGCAATCTAGAGTTTTGATGATTTATAGGTTTTTGTGGTTAATTTTTCTTTAGTTTTGTTCGATCAAACTTAGAAACCGTAACCGAAATAACACTTCTGGACAACAGTAAAAAAAACTATTGATGCTCAGCATTGTGCCCAACTTAAACATTCGAGAAATAAAATACATATCCAAGATTCCAAAGTTTACGCAATAATCATATTGATTTCTCTAAAACAAGTTCGGTAAATCGTTTGGAAATGAAGAATACTACTCAGGTGTCATTGCATTTCAGTGTGTATGCTCAACCCTAAAAATAAGGCAATAATATATTTTTTAGTTTATCTTTTAGTGAAGTCAGTCCAATGCGGACTTTAGTTTTAATAGTAGGGCAGCAGACTGGGTACGACGGTTGTGCCACTTTTTTTTTGATCAGCCATAATTTTGGTAATTTACCATCTAACTGGAAGAAAAGTAAATTAAATAGCAATTTAAAAATTTGTCTGAGTGAAAATAATAAAATCGTCCTTAAATGTAATCGTGTCCTTAAAAATACGATTAGTCATAAAATCAAATTATACAAGAAAAGGGCGAGTGGACGGTTGTGACAGGCATAAAATTAGGTATAAACACTAAAATGGTTTATAACGACTTTTATTGTGGTTAATAACATTAATATGCAACAATACAACTTGAACATTTAGATAAAGCATAAAATATAACAATAAATAACAAAACATAATTTTCATAGTTAACAAGAGTTCTGTGATTTTTTTATATTGATTTTTTTCTTTTTTTTTTGTATTTTGTCTTAGTTGTGATACAAATTTTCATTCAAGACCGTGCTCACAAAGTTCGCCG